TGCTCTTGCACTATGCAATTGTCATCAATATTCTGTATTTTAACTTGTGAGTAGGCTCAGCTCAGCTTAAGCTTCACAGATCAGCTCTAACCACTCTCACACTCCCTTTCCTATGGGAGTATGCTACACTTTTTGTTATTGGAGCAGTGGAAAGAAGTTTGCCATCAACAAAGGGGAAAAAATTGTTTTTCATTCTTTTCTGATTCTAAAGAAGAAAGTCATTCTTGTCTTGAGGTAACTACAGCATTCATATGCAAGCTTATGTTCAATGTGGTGATCCCTGCCTGTATAATCTCATCCCTTGATTTAAATGCTTGGCTTATTTGTGGGGAATGAGACAAGTAGCAGACTCTGCTGTGTTCAGAGAAGTCAATACTGACTTCAACAGAAAAGTAGTATCTGTAGGACCGATATTGGACTCTGACATTCTTATCTGCCACCAGACAGACTCCAAAGTGTACCAGACTTTTGTCCCTACCTGCAGTTCACTCTAAGACATCGATGACTACTTGCATCTGTCTGGTAGGCCGCATGCTTTATTGCACCTACATGACTTACACCAGACTTTATTTTCATTTCTTGCAAGGGCAACTAGTCTGTATATCAGCTAAACAAACATCTTCTGGAGAAGCTAGTACACCTTTCCCTACAGCTGCCCTTGTCATCATTAAAGTGGTATGGGATGGACCCAATGATAGCCTGTGAAGGAGTACTGCTCTCCATTATATTCCGTCAAAGAAGCCAGCAATAATAGGATGAGAGATCCATTTGGACAGCCTGCAAACACAGTGCATACAGACTGTTCAAGTGGTAAGATTCCTGTAAATGTTCCAGTGCCAAGAGTCATTCTTCACAGTATTGTTTTATTCTTATGCATCTAAGAATTTATGACAGCCCGGGGGAGCAAGATCCACTGTGATACGTCAGCAGGCTTTGTAACTTTTTGTCCTCATCATGACATAACTCTAAAGGTTGCTCATTATCCAGAGCTTCAGAATATGCTGGCAAAATATTCTCAGCAGACAATTTTTTTTAATGACTTAGTGCCCCATAAACAGCAGAACTCAAAACATATTTCTCAAGTTGGGTTACTCCCCCAAAAACTTCATAACCCCCAAAGAAAAGAAAATATTTATCATAATTGCTATACCAGAGAAGGTTAGAGTTGGTCCTTTTTAGATATTTCTCATTTTGTGGTCTTTGGACATCCTATGTGCATACCTTCCAATTTCAATAATCCCCAGTGTTTTTAGGCCTAAGGACATGAACACAAGAACACGTCATAGTGAGGGAAACAAGGACAAGGTTTATTGTACATCAGCTGTTCTGATATTGTATAGTGGCCAGATTCTTGGACCATATGAGGATTTATCTCCTAGTTGGAGAGACTGTTCTCTGGAATCTAAACAGTGTTTCTTGTTACCAATTGGCCCTTTCTATACACAATCCCTGTTTCACTGCCTTATAAAACAGCAGTCTCAGTGACAAGGGCTGACCATGAAGTCTAGTGTTGGAGATGCATGTTCTCTACAGAGATGACTCTGTACTATTTAGAAGCTAAATGATAGCTTAGTACCCCATCTTACTGGAATAAATTCATGGAACCCTCACGAATGCAAAAAAAACCCCCAAAACTGTTGCTTCCCAACCCAGAGGAAAGATCTGCCATTGGAAGAGGACTGTATATGTGAATAGGCAAGAAAGCTGAGAGTCATCTTTACTGCTTCTTCCAATAGGATGTTAGGGAAGTTGTGGTTTACTAACTTATTCCCTATTTTTCACTGTTCTCTCCCTCCTAACATTTTGATTTTGGGTAGAAAGTTCTTGTCACTTTTTAAATTCTTTTTTCACATTATGAAAGAAGCCTATATATCTGTTCATATTTAAAATATGTATATTTTTATGGTCTGTCTGGGCCTGATCATGCTTCTATTGAAACTCAGTTTAATGGAAAAAGGAAAAGGTTTGAAGAGTGGGGCTTCATTAGAGCTTGCTTAGCTTTCAGGGAAAAAACCCCAGTTAAATAATCAGAGACTTCCTATTGCATTCTGAATTATTTCAAATATCACACCTGGTGCTGAAACAAAAAAGAGAGGATCTGAGAAAATTACCATTTTCAGATGCTAATAAGAGCTACAAATCATTTGTCTTTGGTTTCAGCAAAATCTCTCTGATCTCTCCATTTCAAAGCTAAGGCTAAGTTTTTTTTTTCTAATGGTTTCCATTCTAGGCTGACAGTTTGAAAATAAAGAGAATTACATGCATCTGAGGGAAGAGTTATTGTGAGCTAACTCAGAACACATACATTGTTCACCTTCAGTTTTATAACTCATTTTCATGAAAAGTGGTTGCTCCTCAAGGGAGCGATCCTCAATGCACAAG